CTCCCCGCTGAGCACGGAGCCTGATAGATATACGACATATAGATATATACGGGGCTCCATCCCAGGGCCCTGGGATTATGACCTGAGTCAAAGGCAGATGCTTAACTGACTGAGCCACCCAGGTGCCCTGACCTAAAGTTTTGAGTGCTCCTGCTACTTCTCTCTATTGAACATGAAGCCTCAAAACTGTTAATAGAAAGATGCATCCTGTGGTTCACTAGATGGCACCACACCATTGCCCTAAAATAGAATTAACTTGAGGGAGGGCGGGGGGTGGGCAGAGGACTGGAAAGCCTGATTATAATCTACATTAAACATCTATTGATGCTCTCAGGGTGTGTGAGAGCTTTAACTGTGCTTTTTTTCAGCAAATTCTCACATGCATATGTTTTTCATGTCTAGGAATGGGATATTTAATTAATCACACGGGACTTTATTCTGTCTCTTATAGGAGAAAATTAAGAATTAGGAAAGAGCATTACTGTACCTCATTCAGGCCCGCTAGGGTGCATTACTGTTTTTTTTTTTAAAGATTTTATTTATTTATTTATTTGAGAGAGAGAATGAGAGAGAGAGAGAGCATGAGAGAGGGGAGGGTCAGAGGGAGAAGCAGACTCCCCGCTGAGCAGGGAGGCTGATGTGGGACTCGATCCCGGGACTCCAGGATCATGACCTGAGCCGAAGGCAGTCGCTTAACCAACTGAGCCACCCAGGCGCCCCTAGGGTGCATTACTGTTGAAGCTTTTTTTTTCCCCCCTAATTTCTATTTTCTTAATTCTCTAGTAGAAATAAGCTGAATGATGCCTTAGTGCTCTCAATGACTTGTGATTCCTTTAGCGCCTTATTTACTATTTGGGAGTAACTTAGACCTTGCAGGCAATGAGGTTAGTTTGGTTTTTAGTATCTTAAAATTTATGTGATGTATAGTGTGACATTTTCCCTAAAAGCAAATTCACTGAAAAGGTGAGTGGGAATGCATTCATCATTGTTGCAATTTTATTCTCTTGCCCCAATCCATTTCTGCCCTCTGCTAATTGGTTGTGTGCATTGAGAGGCTTTTGTAAAGAGTGAAGATGCCACTGATGGATGAGCCTTCTTGCTCCTGTTGCTATACTGAGGATACCATGATTATCCAATGTGCCACTATAGATCCAAACAGCAGAGCAACTGGATTTTAGATGCTTTGGAACATTGAACCCCTCATGTTTTCTTTCTGTACTTCTCCTGTTAATGATCCTGATGTTGATTAACATCTGTTTTCTGAGTCCTTGTGTTCTGCTATTTTGATAATTGGGTAGTTGATAGGAGGCATGGAGTTAAAAGGGTTCTCAGAGATAATTTCATCCAGTCTTTATTTAAAGTCCCAGGAAATAGAAATACAAAGTGGTATTAGACTATTAACCTAAGGCACCACTCTCAATCATGTGTTTGTGTTTTCTTCTGCAAATACATGTTTCAGATACTTCCTTTCAAACTGGAGTAATTTTTAAAAGGACAATATGAAGATTCTGTTATTTATTTTTTCAGGGACCACGTACCTTCATACTTCATGGCACTAGGGCTGTCTGTCTCTACCTGGATATGTTCTTTACATTGTAATTAATGGTTGTGATCCAGTTGATAAATATTTTTTCTGCTTAGGAGACTCTCAGTCAGTAGTTCTGATTGTTCTGTAGATCTGTTCTGATGAAGAAAAGTACCCAGTTCTTGGGACAAAAAGCATAAATGAGTTAGAGTCCTTGCGGCACCGGCCTCTCTACTAAGTAAATAGGGATCTCAGGACTACTAATAATCTAGGAAAGAGTTTATAACATATGAGAATTAGTTCTAATCTCTTGTGTAAGGTCATATCAATTAACTCAAATAGCAGCCATCTCATTAAATAAGAAAGTTGAATACTGTTTTATTGCTGTTAGATATTTGCATTTTGATTAGTTAAGATAAAATTAAATATTAACTAGTTAATGCAGTTAATTTGACAGTTACATTCTTTCAAACCTTGTTGTCTATGAGGACAAATTAATAAAAAGAGCCTTTGATGTTAAAATATATATATATTGTGGATCACAGTCCTAAGGCCTGAGGACATCACGGAAACATTATCCATGGTTCAGTAAAAAGGAGTAAGGATGAATTTATGTCCCCTTAAATTAATCCCCTTTGTCCCAGATATCATTTTCAGTATCGAAGGAGGCTGTGTGTGGGAGAGTTATATGTGAGCTGAAAAAAACAAATAAAAACAAAACAAAACAAAACAAAACAGGATTATGAAAGAGCTGAAAGGAGTGTCGATTTCATTTCCTAACTGCAACATTATTTCTTGCTGACTCAACTCTGAGAGAATGTGTGTTAGAAGTGAAATTCATTTCTAAAGTTAAGCAAAGTCCAAGAATTTTCCATGCCAGTCCCTCAGAAACCTGACTGGCACACTTTAAGGTTCAAGGTGTTCACTAGCTAGAACTATTCTATTGCCTATCCTTCTTTTAGTAGAGTGCAGGTATACTTAGCAGATATCCAGTCTTAGTGTACAAAGCCTGTGGCTTGAGTTTATTGTGAGCTGCTAAGAATGACCCAATGAATTGATTCTCAGAATCTGGAGTGATTCATCTGTAACAAACAGACCTCTTCCACAGTAAGTCAAAGTCCTACACAGACCAATCCTATGCACTGTCATTTACAGAAAATCTGTAATCAAATATTTTATGAGCTAATAAAAATGCATCTGGATATTTCTTTGTAACCCCCAAAGTAATTTAGATAGTGAGGACACTCAGTTCTTGGACTGAGATTTTTCTCCTCATCTGGTTTGGTGGAGACATCATCTGGCAAGCTACGTAATATGTGCATCAAACTAAAGGCATTTTTTAATTTAAAAATAAAATACAACAGAATTCACTTAGTAATATTTACCTATTGGATATTAGCAATAAACTTCATAACATTAATTATAAAAGAACAGCATATAAGGAGGTTATTTAAGTGCTATATCAGATAAATAATTCCTCATTTGCTTAGTCTTAGTCAGTCCTGTGCCACCTGACTCAAATAGGTGGCTAAGAGAGGGTTTTTTTTTTGTTTTTGTTTTTTTTAAGTAAGACTTGAAATAGCTTTTACTTTGTTGAAAGTTAGAAATGGTTACGATATGGCTCCTTATAGAATTAACTTATTTGGCAAATATTTATTAAGTTTTCTTTGTCAGGCAGTTTTCCAGGCATTGGGGGAATACAACAAGGTTTAAAGGGAGGATCATAGACATTGGAACAAGAATCTAGAAGATTGCTATCCAATTACACATGCAATGATAATGAAGCATGAAAAGTCCAGTCATTGGTGAAATATCAGGGTTTGGGAGCACCTAACTGGGACACATAGTATACATAGGGAGAGCAGTGAAGGATTCTGGTAAGACATGACATTTAAACTGAGACCTGAAGAGTGAATGGGAGTTTGTCTCATGTGGCAAGTAAACATGTGTTGACACAGAAAGGATAAACAGGAAAGAGCGTTTCAGGGGAGGGGACAGGCATCTCAACACTGCCCTGTGATAAGAAAGTGTGGAACACACATGACTGGGATGTGGCATGTGAGGGGAAGAGCGGCAGGACCTAGGATGCGAGAGGTAGGGTGGGCCACATATGGAGGGCCTCAGAAGCTGTGGACTATATCCTAGGATTTTCAGCAGTGCAAACTAATTTCAGATGTATGCTTCAAATAAATCCTTCTGGCCATAATGTGGACAATGGATGAAAAGTGCAAGAATAGGAGTCACAGAATCTACTGGAGTCATGATTGTTAGGAGAAGAGTTACAGTTGAAAAAGTGTGGATCTTGACTGATGAGGAATAAGGACCTGGGGGTGCCTGTACAAGTGTTTAGCTTTAGGGTTTGTGTTAATTGCCTTCTGAGTCATTTTGTTAGAATCTCTAGGAAATCCTGGGTTGACTGCAGTGGAGCCTCTAATGTGATTCCCCACATTGTTTTGAACTGTACTAAATGCAATGTTTTATATAATTCACTCTCTTTTTTCATTTGGATTGCATTTGTAAAATAGTCTTTAAGGTAGTCATCAGCCATTCAAATTTTAAGTGTTTACATTTATTCTCTGAAGTTGTCTGTACTAGAAATTATCTTTTCCAAATTCTTTATTTCTCTTTTTAGTTTATTTTCAATTTCAGAAAAGTTTTTCTTTCCGTTGAGGGAACACTTTTCTATGGTTATTGACTTGACCTCCCTGGCATGTCACTTCATGTCAACAACCAGAATACTGTTCCTAAATGGACTAACAGCTCCTCCTTCATTCAATTTGTGACCACATATTTATTTTGCATTAAATTACAGACTAATGCCAGGATGATCTCAGTTGAATAATTAGCTCATGGGTGAAGTGGAAGAGTTTGGAAACTTAGACCAGGTTGAACCACACATTTTAGGAGTCAAGAACTAGAGTCCATATCCCATGTCATATGCTTGACCCCTTGCAGAGTAGTGAATATATATTTGAGTAGGTGCCTTCTTTTTATTTCTTGAGTGGATCAGAATAACTAGCTGATGGCAATTCTCTGTAGTAGAGGAATTGTTTTTATTTGATTTATTCACTGCATAAATCACTTCATATTTGGTCCCAAGGTAACTACCTTTTTCCCAGCCTCTGACTTTCTCCACTACTAAAAATGCCTCTCCTCCCTTCTAGCCAAGTAATGATTGACCATCACATATTATTTGTCTGGAGTAACTTATTGCCATTAGCGTAGCCAGTAGAATTGTCTGTATTATTTCAAGCCACCAAATGGTAACAGGGTGCTCTGAAAATTAGGCAACTGTTAATCAAATAACATTGATTACACAGGCGTGTTTAAGGTGTTAAGGAATACTTAGACTTAGAAAGCAGGCTTTGGTTTCTCTATAATTAGGTATTCATGACTATCTGCAAAATGTAAGAATGCAGTTTTCATTGAAACCACTTAAAAGCACAACTTAAACAAATGAAATTGTTCTACTTACTCAGCTTTTTCATGCAGTCACGAAGCCTGGTTTCCAGGCTCAGCACCCTTTGATGCAGTTCCTCATAGTCATAGGCACCGATTTCCTCTTGAATCCCAGTGAGGACGGCAGACAGATTGCGGATTTCCTCCTTGAACTGGGTGATTAACTTGGCATCTGTTTTGTACTGTTCCAGCACGGGGATCAAGGGCAGGAGTTCATCCATCTTCTCTTTCAACTCCTGTGAAAACCAGCCAATTGTTCCTGAGAGTCATTGAAACAGATCAAGCAGCTATGTTCTTTTTAATATGATACCTAAAGGAGATTATTAAAACAAATTCAAAATTTCTTTTTTTTAAATTAAAAGAAAAATTTTATTAATTTATAATCAGGATATAACATTATATTAGTTTCAGGTTTACAGCATATTGATTCAATATTTGTATATCAAAATTCTTACTGATTTTGGGTTAAAATTAGGTACTTTGTGAGAATGTAAGTGGCTACAAGATCATTAGTAGTAAATCCATTTATCTCAATACAAGAACCTCTCTTTAAATGGTTATTTGCTTTTCTTTTTTTTTTTTTTTCTTAAAGATTTTATTTATTTATTCATGAGAAGCAGAGGCAGAGGGAGAAGCAGGCTCCCTGCAGGGAGCCCGATGCAGTACTCGGTCCCAGGATCCCGGGATCACCACCTGAGCCGAAGGCAGATGCTTAACCGACTGAGCCACCCAGGTGCCCCTGTGCTTTTCTATAAAACAAATTGATCTTTATCATAATTATAAAAACTTTTTATGATAGCAATTAAGGGTTAATGTATTATTTCACTTTCTGGTAGCATTTTATAACGTGAACAATGCATTATTTAGGAAATATAATCAGGGTCCATCTTCTAATTATGAATTACTAGAAATAGCTCACTGACTAATCGTCTATGTTATGGGGGTACTTACAAGAGATTTTGTATCCTGGAACAGCTTTTCTGTAACACTTAGAATTGTTCCAACTATGGCTTTCTCCCATTCTATCCCTTCCATTATGCTCAGGTATTCCTCATTCTTTTTAACATCCATCTTAGCACAACATCGTTAGGAAGGTAAGTTCAGCAAGCATAATAAATCATGCAAAGCTCCTTAAAGCTCAAAGAAATGCATGTTGCTGTTTACCATTTTGAATTATTACTCACACTCTGACTCCATTTGCCTTAGCATAAATAATTTAGAGCTCTTTAAGTAAGGCAGAGTTGCTCACCCATGTAGTGAATTAACTCTTTTAACTCTTTGAGGGACCAATGTGTTCACAGTTTATGTAACAAAGGAACTAGTTGCACAGAGTTGTTCAAAACTGCAAAGTTGATTTTCATCTGGAGAACAAGAATTATATTTTGCCAACACAGTGTTTCTTATTTCTAGCGTCATGGGACTGAGACTCACCTGCTGTTTCACTTTCAGTTTCTAGGTATGTCATCCTTTCTTCTTTTCCTTTAATTTGGTGGTAGTGGTCAGTGAAAATATTTCATGAGTGTGAGTCAGTTGTGTGTGTGTGTGTTTTTTTTTCACAGATGATCTCATTTGTGGAAAGAGCTGTCACTGTTATGATCATTTGAGAATAATCCATAGGTGCTGTCAGAAACCATGCTGTATACTAACTAATTAAAGGAGCTGAAAATTGCATTTTAAAATTACATTTGGAAGATGTTATTACTATAAATGCATTAAAATAGCAGGAGCTCCCATTGCTGCCTTGATTTATGGGCTTATGTTTCTTGTGGGGAAATTTCCACTTGCTCTGTAAGCTCAGAATTCTTCAATTTTGTCTATATGTCCATGTTGAGTGGGAGGGGACAGAGTCTTCATAATGAGAAAGATTCATAAATATCACAGTGAAAAGGTGGAATTGCATAGCTTTACTCATTTTGGTGGCTCATTTGGAAATAAACTTATTAGTCTGAGCATCTTATGGCATCCCACAAGGAAGACACAATTGCTTCATTATGATTTTAATAAGGAGAGTTCTGTTGGTAGCATTTGCTGCATATTATAGCAACAGTTACAATGAAGAGTTTTATGTTACACTATGGGAATACTGAAAAGAGAGCAATTCAGTGTCACAATTTTGGGGACTTTTTTCCCTGAACTAAAAAAAAAAAGTAATTATATTTTAGGATCTTTTCAAAAATTCATAATTTGATTATTGGTAATCAATTTTGAAACCCTTGATGCTAGTCAGAGAGCAATGGAATGTTCAATTAATATACATATCAAATACTTAAAAGGTTAAAGTAGAATAGCACAGATCTGTACTTACTAATTTCTTCTAGAATTTCACTTTCTATTATGTCGCTCTTACAGCAAATGTTGTAGCTAGACTATCTTGCCCAACCATGATCTTTTCATATAAGAATGATAGTCTCAAGTATGATAACTAGAATAAGATTTTCATCCTAAAAAGTACAGAAGACAGAACCTACTTAGCGTTTTTTGATAAGTTGAAAACCGTGTACCAGAGTAGAATTTTCTTCCAATGTAAACGTATTCTTTGATGTAAACTTACTTTTGGAATGTTCCAGTTCTTTGTCTCAAATATGGCATCTCAGCACCTAGGTGCCGAGTCACCATTGGACTCATCACCACTGGACTCATGAATACATAAATTCAACAAACATATTTAGCATGTTATTATTATAACTAAATTTCAGAGAGCTAGAGTCTACTTGGAGAGGCAGCGTAGAACTGGTAATATTAGGCTTACTTCTAGAGCTGGATGTTGTGGTTCTGATGCATATTAGGTATTAATGCTGAACAAATTGCATCAATTTCTTCATCTCAATGATTGAGATAGATATGGTGCCTACTTTATAGTATTGTTGAGAGGATTAAATTAGCTAATATATATTTAAAGTTGTCAGAACTATGTGTTGAATATGTATAATTCTTCAGAAAAATATTATTGCTGTTTGGATTTTTACATATAACTGAAGTATCTACTTGGATTATGTGAACTAGTAAAATCAAAATCATTAGGTCATGTGGTGCTACCTGAAAATTAAGTTTTTTTACTGGTAGCCTGGCTGCTGCTAGGCAAACTTCTAGAAAAGGCAAATCATTTCCTTGAATTTCTCTCAGCTTTGTATCACTGTTTACTTCTGATCTTCTCCCAACAGTTCCCACAGATGGACATACTTCATCATGTGTCCCCAGCCAGGCCAGGCCTGGCACCCTCAAACTATCCCTTGGCATTGCAGAGTTCTGCATTGTCCATTTGAGCTTGAATAATTTTCACTCTGTGCCAGACACCCTGAGCACCTCTCCTTCTGTCCTTCTTCCTTTCTGGGATGCTCTCCCTGTAAGTGCCAGCTTACCATTGCCTACCTTGTTGATGGCCTCAGCTTCCGGCTCACGTTACTCCTCTACAGCCTACACCCTAACCCTGAACATTGCAAATGTTCTGGTTTTCTCCAAGTCCTCTGTGACTCTGTGTGTGTGTGTGTGTGTGTGTGTGTGTGTGTGTGTAAGTGAGTGAGTGTGAGTGTGTTGGGGGGACTAGTCCAAAACTACTTTCTTGAAAATTGCCAAATTTTGAAACTCTTCCCCTGATCTTCTCTGAATGAAATTAAATAACATTACTCTTCCCTTTGTGCTGTTAAATAATATTTATGCTTCTATTTACTATCAATTTTACCTGCCTGTTTTAGTTGTCTTTCATAGAAGAAAGATCATTATATATCCAGCAGTGGGCCCAACTCTGCCTTGCACACAGTTCATGCTCGAATGTTGGTTAACATTAACTCATTTCCTCCTCAGCCTTATATTTTTCGTGGTTTACCATTCCCCCATAAATCCTCTATTCATCCAGTTTGCTTATTCTCTCATTTCCAATAATATTTACATTTATTGTATCTTCCAAGCCTTGCATTAATTTCTTAACCTCCTGGCTTTGTGTCCTTTTCTCTTCAACTTAAACTTCATGATTCATCCCTTCAGCCTCATCTCTTGTCAATACCCTCAATTTTCTTACTGTCTCTTCCTTCTGTTGTACCTCTCTGGTAAAACTTTAAAACTGGTTCAGTGCGAAAATTGTTTTCTCTACCTACCTAGTCGGCTCCTGACCACCACTAAAGTAAATTACAAAACCATGAAAATTTCTGCCAGATCAAAATGTGCTATGTGGAGATCCTGTCACATGTCCCTGACTAGCTCTGTGTCCATCATCATTATGTGTGAAAAGCACTTCAGATGCTTAAATTCAGGCCCATTCCCTTATCATCAGCCGTGAATTTCACTAGAGAAGGGAAGGAAAAAAGAAACTATTATGCTTATAAAACCACAGTATGTTTTATAAACTGTGTGCTATCCCTTTGGAGGCAGATTGTTTCTTTTTAATAGAGGCTCAAATGGTATTATCATAGTCAGATTTTTAAAAATATGGCACTGTCATACATAGGTACTAAACGTCCACATAGCATGCTTAAAAGCACTATTTCTCCATTTTCAGTGTTTCTGGATAATAACCAAAAACAACCTAAAGTCTAAGAAAAGACTTTGTATCAAATTATGAAACATCCTTCTTTTTATTTTTGTATGCTATTATTAATGGTGTTATTGCCTCTTTTAATAATAAATATTCTCTATATGTCTCTTCACATTAGCAGGGCATAAAGTCATCAGAACAAACTTTAATAAATTTAATTATTAATTTTCCTTGAGATTTCCCCTTGTCTTAGATATTGAATTGCCTGTAAATATATCCAGAAACTCCACCAAGCTCTAGGAGGAGTAGGCTCTTTTTATAGCAAGTCTGCTATGCATTCCTTCCAGCTAATGGTCAGTTTCAGTAGAGAGATGATTGACATCCCTAGTGACTCTTTATTTAGCCTTGCTCATATGGGCCAATGCACAGTTATTTCTAGCTGATTGCCATGCTGGCTGTCCATTACACTCAGTGTCTGATTTGGATTGACAATATTGCAGAAGTCAAACCTACTTGAAAATGCTTGGTCATTAGTGTCTTCCGATCATCTTCAATCTGCCGAAACTTGGCTTTCAGCCCTTTCATTTGGGTTTCCATTTTTAGAACATATTGGAAATCTCTCTGAGTTCTCAAGTTTAAGACTTCAATAGACTGGGACATGTTCTGAACCTGTTAAATAAGAACATTGGCTATACATTATTGTCTGTGTACAGGAGTATGCAATCACTACTGAAGGAGCAAAAATGATATTAACATAAAGAACTGACAAATATCAAATCCATATTTGGATCCCCACATGATATGTTTTCAGAAGAACAATTCTTTGTGATAAACAATCAAAAAATTCAGCAAAAGAAAATTAAACCTAGGCGGGAAATAATAACATTTGACATTTAGCATTAGAGATAAATAAATATAAATAAGAATTTAATAAATCAGAAAAGTAAATTTTAAAAACTGAAATTTCATTCCAGGGGTTTGTAAGCTTATAATGCCCCAAGCTGTTGAATGTTAAAATGAGTTGTTTCTGTAAGTACTAACTCTGCTTTCTTCAAGATCAGGATGTTTAGCAATTGTGGATGATAGTGACATGTCCAGCAGAATTAGAATGCATTCATGACAGTACAGTTATTTCAACATCTTAAGTTCTCCCAGGGGTGAGATTGAATTGACCAAGATGCATGTGGCAATTCTGGGACACCCCCAAACACAGTGTTTAAGAGACCTGGAAAATGGCACTGTATCAAGTGTTTGATAGGTAGGCAGTAAACGCCGATTAAACTGATGGTACCTTCTTAGGTTCCTAGGGCCCCAGGCTATGTAGAAGTAGGAAATAGGTGACTTAAAAAACATTTAGAAATGAGGAAAGAAAGGCTGCTCTAATTTTTTTGTGGTAGCAAAAACCTAAAAATAAAGTGAAAATGTCTAATAGTTGGAGAGCTAGTAAATGAATTAGGGAATGGAGTACAAATATACTGTTCTAAAGGGTAAGTTAGGTTTCTGTACCTTGGTACTCAAAAAGTATTGTCTCCAGAGCAACAAGTTTGGCATCACTTGGGAGCCTGTTAGAAATGCAGACTCTTGGGACCTACCCCAGAGCTACTGAGTCAGAATCTTCATTTTATCAGAATCCCCGAGTGATCCCTCTGTTTATTAAATTTTGCTCAACATGGAGGAATTTCCATGAGAAAAGCAAGTGAGAGGAGCGAATGTAATAGCCTTTATATAATTTGATCTTTTATTCTAAATCAAATTCTCTGTGTGTGTGTGTGTCTCTCTCTCTCTCTCACACACACATATACACATAAAAGAAAATGGGGCATATGAGCAAAAAACCATGGTGGAGAGAGGTATGTAAGGATTAGAAGAATACATATTAGGATGTTAGTTTTTTGGCAGGAGGACAGATGTGGGTGAGAAGAGAAGTAACAAATATTATGGAAAGGAGTCCCTGCTAAATAGAATATATGTAAATTTCCATAGAATTATATGTTTTATTTGCATGAAATGAATACATGTAAGCACCAAAAAAACACTGTGGTGGAATTTCAAGTGAATTTTACTTTGTTTCATACATTTTTATGCATTATTCTTTTTCTTTTTCTTTTTTCTTTTATTTTTTTTTAAAGATTTTATTTATTTATTTGACAGAGAGAGACACAGCGAGAGAGGGAACACAAGCAGGGGGAGTGGGAGAGGGAGAAGCAGGCTTCCCGCTGAGCAGGGAGCCCAATGTGGGACTCAGTCCCAGGACTCTGGGATCATGACCTGAGCCGAAGGCAGACGCTTAACGACTGAGCCACTCAGGCACACGCATTATTTATGTGTAAGTAAAAAGTTATTTTCATTGCAACAGTTGTGAGTTACAAATAAGGAAGGAGTAATTTATTCAGTTTTTGAAATCACGTATGTCACAAAGCTCAGTGGACCAGCTAGCTATAAAGAGCCCATTGTTGGTACATTCTTCAGAACTGGAACATTCCAAAAAAGCAGTGTGTTCTGCAACCTTGGCTTGCTTACTTCTACTTATTAAAGAAGGTTATATTTTCCTGTTTTTTTTTTTTCCTGCTGTTTCACCCATAGTGCTGCCTTTTATGAATGCTATCTTTTCAGGTGTTATTATAGTCTAGCTTATGTTAAAACTAATTGTGTATTGCGTGTGTTGGGTAGGAGCACAGAATCTTAAAATCTGTCCTTCTGTGAGCTCTGTGAGGTTCAAACCTGCATCTTATTAAAATCTTTTATTTCCAAGATCTTATACAGAACCAGGCACAGACTAATTGCTCAATAAATACCTACTGGGTAAAATTATCTTAGGCTCCCAATAGTACTAATAGGTAATTAGTATTTTAATATTTTAAGGAAAGTTTCCTCCTGTCACTGTTACACTATACCATTACATCATTCCCAAATATTTCTTAGTTTACTATCATTCCTACTTAGGCCGCTTCATCTTTTTTATAATCTTTATTGCAGCACAAAATTACTGAGACAGTATTGAAAGATAGAGATGGTAAATGCATCTTGGATAAATTTGATGCTCTCAAAATAATTTTCAGCTCCATTATGGTTAAGCATGAATAAAAGAAAAGGCATTTGTATTAAAGAAACTGTCTACACATTTGAGTATAGCATTTGTCTCCGAAGATACCCATCATTGGCATGACCAATATTTTCCTAGGAATTCCATGTACCTAGGCAGAGTCTGTGCAGTTAGAAAATGAAAGGCAAATGAGATATTCGGGATATAGTTAAAATAGCCTCTCTTTTATTTCACCTCCGACTAACCCTATGGAGTTAATTTTCAACTTTATTTGTGTTGTGAGAAAATGCGCTGAGAGAGTTTTTGCTGAGACTTGATTGTGACTGTCTATATTGTAGAACTGTGCATAATTGTAAGAGCTCCCTTGGGGGTAATAGATAGAGGTAGAGCTGGGTAGTTGAAAAGGATTTGGCTCTGGTCTGTCTTTTGCTTTTCCTGCTAGCTATATCTAAGAATGTCCAGTTTCCTACTGTTTACAGAGACCCCCTGAGTATGTTTGCTGACGGTACCTGAGACTGGATTCCCACAGTTACACCTACAAGAAGGAGACCCATCTGCTGTGGCTCCTCTTTTAGTCTGTTTATCTCTCATGTTCTACAGCTTAGTTTTTCATGTGTGTCCCTGTGTTTAGACCCTCTCTACATCATCTGGCAAGCTCACTGTCTCCCTTCATTGATAATTTTTTAAACTATTTAATCTTGGTTCTTCGTATAAATAAAATGTCTGAGGCCTTTCTGACCTTAAACACAAATTAACTTAGAATTTCACTGTAATTCATAATTATTGTGGAGGCTAACTTGGAAAAAACACAGCCCACAGCTCAATATGTTTGGAGAGTGTTGGCATTAACAAAACTAAACAGATTCTTTGCTGTAGGTCTTCACAGAACCTTTAGTATTAAAGTGTGGTGGTGTAGTGGAAATCGTCAAGAGTGAAGTATTATGTACAGTGTTTCTTAAAATCATTTTATTGGGTGGATGTCACTGGCATCCTCTTCGAAAAATCACACTTTAGGAAATATTGTCTTAGACAATGCAGGACGTCTTCAACTGTACAGAGAAGCTACACAGCTAACAAACATTTTTTGAGTGAACAGTTTTAGTTTGGGTGTATGAAGACCTGAAATATTGTGAAACCAACTGTAATTTTTTAAATATTAAGTAATATAGATACTGATTAAAAATGTCTGATAGTACATCAGTTAAGTGTGGGTACCACCAGTGACATTCTGGTTGATACTAGCATGATGTTGAGAAAATGCCAAGCTCATCTGGTAAAGCCCCACAGCCTACTGGTTGAGTGACATTGGTAGGTTCTTCAACCTCAAAGAGCAGTTTCCTTTCTTGTACACTTAGAAGGGCAGGACCTCAGCTGTGAGGATTGAATGGACTGGGTAGAGATATGATGATATATGGGACATACTGTTATCAGCATTATTCTTCTTAAAAATATTTCCTTATTATATGACTAAGTCAATTCTTTTGTTGATAGTGAATGGGCTGCTTCAACTCACGCTCCTGTTTTTACATCTGGTGCCATAGATAGACGGGAAGCTATAGAGAAGTCAGGAAGGAACTGGCTCAGTCTGAGTAAGGAGTGCTCGTTTCACAGGGCTTTTCTTTGGGTCAGTGCAGCAAACTAGTGCTACTTTCTTCCTTCAAGCCACTCTGTGTACACAATTGACTATTCCTCTTGGCCTATAATACTCTCCAGTGAGGAATTTAATACGCTTAACTTGTAGAGACCTAGATTCTGTTAATAAATTTTGTGGGTTTTTGGGTCACTTAAATATGATGATTTTTTTTTTAAAAGTGTGATTTCCTAGAATTTCTTTAAAACATTAAACATGTTGCATATTAGATGGAGTGGTCATATACATTTCAGTTGATTGTTTTCAGCCAACCTCCTGGGTTGTATTTTTCTTTGCCTTATTCATCCTACAGTAATTCCTGGTTTTATCATAGTTCTGGAATACATTTCACTTTGGACCTGTAGAGGGTATTATCCATTTCCTGACACTTTATTTGAATTTTTTGACTGATTTTTGAAGAAATGTCCTAATCTCTATAGAGGTGTGTATATGTAATGCTATACCGAAAAACAGTGACACAAATAAGATTATTAGTGTTTAAGATATGTTTCTCACCATGGTTGATACAGAAAAAAGATGCTTTTGCACAGAAAAGAATATAGGAGCAGAAAGTCTGTAATTTGAGGAGAAATACAGTTTAATAGAAAAGAAAAAATTGGATTTAAAAAATTAAATCTTTTTACCAATGTAATTAATTTCCCTAGTAACCCAACAATATGAAACTATGTATTTGGATTTTTTTCATAGAGATAAAGAAAATCAAGATTGGTAAGCAATACCCAAGACAAATCACAGTTCATATGTCATGATTTCTAATAGCTAAGAGGCACATTACCTAGGGTCATTAACTTAAATGAAAATGACATTTGCTCTTGTCTGGGAGACAGATGTTGAAGGAACAAGGGAAGATGGGATCTTGTAAAAAGAGACTTAAGAAGAGAGAGCCAATAGATTGATGATCTCTCTGAGGAGAGGGGGAGGAAAAACAGGACTAATCATTGTATATAAACAAGAAAAAAACTTTCTTAAAATCTTAGCGCATCAATACACTTCCAAGTAATGTACGCGGAGGGAATTTATTTTCATTATATGCTAGTAGAAGGAAGTTATTGTTGCTAGGCTTGCAATTGCATAAAGTCAGCATGTCTCTATTAACAAATTTGATGCTTTCGTTTTTCTAGTTCCTCTTAATTTTCCGTAAAAAGTTCCTATTCACTGCCATCATTGTGTGAATGATCATGAAAATGATATTGCACAGAGTGAATTGTTGAGTATGGTGTCCCCTAAAAGCACATACTACCTTATTTATCTTACTATCCCTGAAGGTATTTAAAATTTCAACATGTTGCCATTCTTCTGTCGGTCTGGCCACCCAGCTGTCCTACTATATTCAGAGCCCAACACAGTGAAATTTTGAATGAGAATAATTGAAAGAAACCATTCATTGTTTTTTTCCCCCCTCAAACTAAACATAAATAACCTTTCATGAGCTGACTTTGATCTGTAAAAAAGAATAAATCAAGGGCATTCTGCATTTGATTGTTATGGATCTGGCTTAAGTAAATTATATGGAGAAAATGCTATTGAATGAAATTGAAGAGTTTAATGTTCAGGAAGGATTTAGAGAATGATGATAAATACTTGAAATTATTCATTATCTGTTCAGATAGCTTGCATATTGCATTCCATTATTTTAACTTCCTTGCAAGGTTGTTAATGGGATTCAAATGCATGAGCTCAAAGAGCCTAGTGTGATCCTGGGAGTTGAGGATAAATTTCTGGCATAGGAATAAGACTGCTTGCCTTTTTTTTTTCCTTAAGGATAGACCAACTGGATATTAAGATATATAATAGCCAGTCTTAAGAAGGTATGATTGAGAAAAGTAAAAAGTAATATAAGTAGAACAGTAGAGAAGGGAGCTTGAGGTACTCCTTTTCAGGAAGGGGGGAAAAAGTTTATTTGAGAAGGGGGACAAAAATTGGAAGGACCTTCCTCACCATTGCCTGCTTTCCCACATTTCCTTTTCAAGGAATGGTAGATTAAAAAAAAAAAAAAGTTCACAGAGAGCGGGGATACCTACCTTTTCCAGAAGCTGGCGAAGCTGCCTGCTTTTGGCGTCCCGGGAACACAGGTTTTGTTCTGGAGCCACCACTGTGCATATGCATCGTCCATCAGGGTCCTGTGCTGAACTGTAGACTTGCCACCCTTCTTTGGGACTAATCTGAGTCTGAGGAAACCAATGGCAAACACACAACACAGACCTCCATTACAGGATAAAGAGAATGTGGGTTTGTAACATTTTAAGCAAAGCATCTTTTTTGATAATTAAAGTTTCTGTTTTTATTCTTTAAAGTTAGAAAGAGATTAAATAACTTCTATAGGTAGCATAGCTTCATTCAGTTACACCTTCTTTATCAGTCCCCCGGAAGGAGAATTTTTCTTTCTATACGCTCATATTATTAACTACTTATTGACCCTACAGCACTCCCTAATGCTTTTTGTCATATTTGGACATTTTAGTGCAACTTTAGAAGCATCTGATAACCACTGAATCACATATCACCAGTCTTTCTACATAAGATCTGTTACCTTGTGTTTCTCAACAGTAAATGGTAGTTAGTAGTATATATATATATTTTTCTGATTATTATTCATGTGTGATATTTTCAAGCAAAGCCCTGTCTTAAGGACCTTCCTGTGTATTGAAGGGGCAGTTATTAATAAAGCTAGAAAAGTAGCATATAAGAATATAGGGTAAAAAGAATTAGATCAGTATGGTTTTGCAAAGGAAGCAGAGTCCCAGAGAGGTTAAGGAGAGTATTTTGACATAGTCTGCCAAATTCATCTTCTCAAATTACCTCTGTGCACTTATCACCACCTTACCTCTCTGGAACCCTAGCTTAAAGTGGCTTTCTTATCTATGAAGGAGGCAGCTTAAAGTCAGCCTCCTATTTATGTTTCTAGTTTTTCCTCCTATATCTTCCTATAGGAAACTTCTTTCCAACCAAATTGGTCTGCGTGTGTCCTGAAAGCAGGCCACCTTGATTCATATCTTTGTATGTTACTCATTTTGTTTCTCCTGCTTGGAATAACCTGTTTTATAGACCTTCGGTTTACTAAGCCCTTGTGGTTTCTACTTATTCTGAAAGATTGTCTGTATTATTCATTAGGCATTTCATGTGTATTGCCTAGTATTCTATTTGCCTTTCATATGTCTTATTTCAACACTTAGTTTATATCCAGCTACTAGATAGTTCCTGTCATATCAAGTACATTCTATCAGGTACAAAGGTAAGTGCCGTCATTTTTTATCTCGTTACTTTCCAGAAAGAACTGTGCTTTAACCGTATACTCTCCATTGTACAAACAGAAGTCACTGTGGCTGCCATGATATACTGCCCAGAGAGGCACTCATTCATTCCTCCAGCTGCTGAGATTATCAGTAGCTTGACTCTCCAGTTGGGTTTCTCCTTGGGGATTGCCCAGGCTGAAGAATGCAGCCTGTTCAAGGTCAGGCCCTATTCCAAGGGACAGCTCACATGTATTGACTTTGATGACGCAGCAGTACAAAGAAGCACCCTAAGAAGCAGGAATTATTATTTTCATTTCACAGAAGAGGAAATTGCCTGGGAACGCTCAGCTTGGATGTGGTAGAGCTCGTATGAAACCAGGCAGTATGCTCCAGAGCAGCAGTCAAATGGAAATATAATTAATTTTAACTTTTCTAATAGGCTTGAAAAAGGAAAAATAAATAATCTTAATGTATTTTATTTAACTCAGTATATCCAAAATATTTCAACATGTAATCAATATAAAAATTATTCATGAGATACTTTACATTATTTTTCCTCCTTTTTTTTTGTACTGTCTTTGAAACTGTGCATTTTATACTTGTGACTTACCTCAATTTAGATTAGCCACATCTCAAATGCTCAATAGCTACATGTGGCCCTCCTTATTGGACAGTGCAGCTCTGGAGTCCTGCTTTTAATTACAGTGCCGTATCAGTATGATGTTGAACAGCCAGATAATTGTTTTTAAAGGTCAGTCATGGGTATTGAAAAAACTACCTAACAGATGTTACACAGACAAACCATCCAATTTGATCTGAATTTGTTTTTCCTGTGGAAATATCGGATAAATCAGTGGGCCTTTTTCTAGCTAAGTTCTGGCTTACTTCTATAGCTAGGATCGGAAATTCATCAGCCTTTCTACGGTTTCCAGGGATTCAGCAGGTAGGTATTTCTTGTATGATCAGAAGAGGGAGATGAATTTAGTCTAGAAAATCAGGTACTTAATGAATCAGATTGGAAGGTCAAGGCTGAGGAAGAGTGAGAGAGGGGCTAAGGGCTGGGAACTGAGATGCTGTTAGGAACCACGAGGCCAACAGAGGCCCCAGAGGATTGTCTTGCAAAACGCCCGGTGTTACTGGACTCAGCTGCTGTTTGCCTATAGACCTGGAGTATTTTGCCAGGTTAAAAGCAGACTCTTTAAAGAACTAACGCAGGCTGACTTCCCTCTCCACCGACCTGCTATCGCCTGTGAGATCTTCTGTCTCTAGAATTCACAGCAGATACTGATATAGTTTCCGACCTATCCTGTCCCAGGTCACAGCTCGTTGCATACCATCAACCAACACACAGTTCTTTTTCTTTTCAAGGGCTTCAGCAACAATCACTAGAGGGTGCCGATAGGCATTCTGACAACAATCATGAACAAATATCAGAGAAGCTATAAGTTATAAACTCAGGAAACTCTTGAAGATGTCATAGTCCTTGTCCTTGATCCAAAATGAGAAGCAAATGGTGCCAGTGCTCTTTTTCATCTACCTTTTCAGATAATTCATGGAAGCTTCCTATGCTGCCTTTTATTTCTGAAGCATTGGATTCATTATTATTCCTTTCTTTTTCATTCTCTTATCCCTTCTAGCATTTATGACTGAATATCCAGTTAGGATAGAAAGATATACTTAAAATGATATATTATTAGAGTCAGCATCTTTTTTATTTTTTTAAATATTTTATTTATTTATTTGACAGAGAGAGAGAGAGAGAGAGAGAGAGATGGCGAGAGAGGGAACACAAGCAGGGGGAGTGGGAGAGGGAGAAGCAGGCTTCCCGCGGAGCAGGGAGCCCAACAGGGGGCTCTATACCAGGACCCCGGGATCATGACCTGAGCCGAAGGCAGACGCTTAACCAACTGGACCACCCTGGCATGCCTTAGAGTCAGATAGCATCTTAAAGATTATTGTGTTACCCTTTTTGTATTAAAGAAGAAAAATGCAGAGATTACAGAATGGAGATAGAAATGGTTTAACAGAGTAGTTTCAGTGATACAATTAGAGGTTTAAACTAAGTAACAGTATGGGGCTTAAATATCTAGGTCCTATAGTTTCAGTTAGACCTCACCTAACATTGGACACAAATCTCCAGTATGTTAGAAAATTAAATCTTGTCACTAGGATAAATTTAGCTTTTGGATAAAGGAGCTCGGGTCACCCAATTATAATATTAAAATATCTTTAACAGCAGTGCAAACACTGATAATTAAACCTGGCAGCATTAATATTGGTGTTCACTTCCCAAGTGTTTGGCCAACTAGTGAGGAGCTTATTATGACAGGGCAAGGTGTCAGCTGCTCTCTGGAATGAGGGAAACAGGAAAGGTGAATAGGGTTTGATGTTCATTTAGCATTCTCCCTCAAGTGTCAGCTTAATGAAAGTAGACTCCAGCCTTGTTTGTACTTCCAGTTGTCTTCTTGTAAGAATCATTGAAAAGAGCCATGACCTTATCTACTACAGAGTTAGTTTGAATGATCTCAACTATAACAAGCTACCTCTTTGGCCAGAAAAAGGTAACTCAAAAGAGAAAAACGCTGATATAAAAGATGAGTGCCTGACAGTCCTGTGGGTTTTGATAGAGACCTCTTTGTCAGGGTCAGTGATAAATAAAGGAAGCTTTATGAGCATCTCTAGTGCTCTCTTTTAGGGCATCTATAACTGGCATTGAAAAGAGGGTCAAAATAAAACCAACTAAGACTTCAGGTGGAAGGAAATATTTAGCGATTTTTGGATACCAATGAAAAAAGACCTGCCATTTTAACTTACAAGAGCAATTATTCAGGTGTCTGTAGAACTCAAAGTAATAGCAAATATTTATGGAGCTCTAGCCATTACTTGGCAGTTCGCATGTACTATTGCCTTTGAATATCACATTAACCTTATGGACGAGGTTATGTTACTCTACCCATTTTATAGATGAGGGAACTGAGACTTAAAGATCATAAGGAACTTGCTCAAGGTCATGCAGGGGGTAGTCAGCAGAGCTGGGCTTTGTGGTTTGATGTCAGTTTGATGTCAGAGTCTGAAAGTTTAACCACGATATTGCACCACTGAAAACCAGATAATTTTCAGTTATCTGAAATTCCCTTTTATAAATGCTAAAGATAACCCTGAAAGCATTTTGGGAACTGCTGTGAAGGCCAGTACTTGGACCTGGAGGGTGCATGTGGTTTATTACTATCCAAAGCATTGATAATCATAGTGGTTACTGATTCAGTTCTCTTTGAACCTTTTGTGTTAATTAGAAGAACTAAATGAACTATTTAGCAGTTTTTAATATTGCAGAACTCATGAAATATTTAAGAATGCTCTAAATAGGAGAATTAAAATGATAATTTTAACAATTGGATTTCAAGTCTGGATTCTTTCCTTATAATTTAATTACCAAGCTATGCTTTGTAAATAAATATAAAGCTACTGTGTGAGAGTTTTCCCAAAACCCCAGGGGCTTTGTACCAGAAAAGAGAGATCCCGAGGTACGAGTAAAAATAAATAAAAATATCTTGCATTTCAGTTTGTTTTTCTGTTTATAAAATCCCACTCTTTGTATTAATCTCACTTTTTTTGAAACAACTACCTTTCCTTTGACATAGACATTATCTTAGTTATGAGGAAATTGAAACTCAACATAAGCAATTTTTTTTCAAGTCATCCATTTAGTAAATGTCGTGTATAGGACCATAGGCCCAGTTTTCCTCAACTGTCAGCCAGGAGTCTTTACTCCCATCCTCTGCAGATAAATGCGGACATATAGCCTATGTCCACTCACCAATAGCCAAAAAATTTGCTTTGGAGGAGATGCACGCAGGCAGATGGAGGGCATTATCTACACAGTATGGAAATAAGTAGCAGTTGGCACCCCGGAGGAGCTGTTAGCAGTAAAGACTCTAGCAAGACAACTGGATGTTCCTGTGGTGGGCTCTGCAATCATTTATCAGGGCCCAGGTGGAGGGGCAGGCGAAGGACAGAATTCTGATCCTTTCAAGGGAACCGGGTCAGCTAGTTGAACATTGCTAGGGCTTATGTTTTATCTTGAGTTTCTAGGCATTTCATAGAAGTACAGACTGAGGCAAAAAAGAATAAGGAATCTACCTGTTGAAAGTGGTGTACAAGGTGTACAAAATAAAGCAGAGAAAAATCCATTTATTAGACCCTATTTGATTTAGAGTGGAGATACCTAAGTGATGATGAAGCCCCTTATAAATTTTTTGTCTGAGGCCATGTTTGGTCTCAGAGAGTGAAATGTGGTTTAGCATGCTAATGGCTTTAGTTGTGAAGAGAGGAGAAATGTGAGGGAAGGAATGGGAGAGATGTTGACAGACCATGCTGAACAAGGTTGTGTTCTGGAAGATGTGTTAATAAAGATGTCACTGCATAGCAGTTTTCTTCCTATTTCTTATGAGACTAGTTGGAACTGAAATAAATGCATATTTTCACTCAAGAAAGCCTCAAGGCTCTAAGAAAAACGACTATTAAAACAAAACAAAACAACAACAACAACAACAAAAACAGGGGCGCCTGGGTGGCTCAGTCATTAAGCATCTGCCTTCGGCTCAGGTCATGATCCCAGGGTCCTGGGATCGAGCCCCGCATCGGGCTCCCTGCTCAGCGGGGAGCCTGCTTCTCCCTCTCTCGCTCCCCCTGCTTGTGTTCCGTCTCTCGCTGTGTCCCTCTCTGTCAAATAAATAAATAAAATCTTAAAAAAAAAAAAAACAAAAAAACAAAAACGAATGACAAACAAAAAAAACCAAAGATCTAAGTTTTGGGTTGGTTGAACAACTGTATTCATGTTCTGGAAATCACAAAGATTTATTAGAGTTAGGAAAGACTCAGTCAGAGGTCAGACCTGGTCCTGTGTCTTTCCACTCAGTCACGCTTCTGTCTGTTCTTGTGTTTCCACTCGAACTCTGCATGATAAGAAATTTCGCTGCTTCATAGGCAGCGCCTTCCACTGGTGGAAAGCTGAGGGGCTTGATCTGAGCTTCTGTCTTTGTAATTTTCCCCTTTTGGCCCTACTTCTGCTTTAAGTACTTAAACAGGAATACAGCTACTCTTGTCCACTTTTCTTCTCTAAAAAGGCAATTATCACTTTCTCTATGGCTCTCATGATGTGCACTTGTTTTTCTCATCCATTTCCCACTCTTTAATTTGTTTAGTTGCCCTTTCACAAAAAGGGATATTGCCTAAGGATTTGAGGAAGAAAAACTGTATAACACAGAAGTCAGGTGTCTTCATACAGCCTGAAAAAAAGTTGGTGAGTTGAGAATAAGAAATTTAGAAAGTATGGAGAGTTTGCATCAGGGTATTCTACTCATTTTACAGAACTTAAAACTGACTCAGTGAAGAAGTTATTTATGAGGAGAAGTCAGCTAGATGTTTGAAACTGTAGCAAAACAAATCACTTATGCCCACAGGTTCCCTTTGAGGCCTCTTCCCATCACAGCAGGTCGGGCTGACTGGGAACAGCTGGTGTCTGCTGAACGTCCTCTGCTTATTTAATTGCTCTTTTCCAGGTTCTTCCTGGTGTGGAGTCCACAGCATGGGGGATTTCTCAGAAGCTCAGCCCCAAGGGGCAGTTACCCTGCGTCAGAGAGAAGTGCCAGAGGGAGCCTGAGCTTTCTCAGAGCCAAGGCTTCACCTTTGCAGACACCAGCTTCTCCAAAGGCTGATGGGCCCAGTGATAAATTGAAAAGAAAAAAGAAAGGAAAGAAGAAAGAAAATAGGGCCAAAAAGGAGAATAAAGAAATGTTTCTAGATTTTAACAAAAACGAGAGGGAGCATATTCCCCTAATAAGGAGCTGTATTTCACTGCTTACTAACAAAAATATCCTGGAAATTTAAAAACCTCTTTCAGCTTTTGAGACAATCAAATGCACCCTTCCTATTTCAGAGACACTTGCTATAAACAGATTTAATTGCATTTAATCATTGAAACTCTTTTTTTCAGGTCACTTGAAACTACCCTTCTAAAGAAAGACTTCGTATTTGTGTAAATCTGCACTTTTTGCCATCTGCACAGCCCATAAACACTCATAAAACAAATTTTAAGACCTACTCTTTTTTTGTTTGTTTGTTTTTGTTTTTGATGTGTACACAGTTGCAGGCTTATCCCATTCATACTGTCTAAAGTGAGGACATACAGCAAGAATGTTAGAAAGGGCAGAATATCCTAACTAAATCTACTAGGAAGGGCACTCTTAACTCTTCCATTGAAGGGAAGTGGAGTCCAGAGTGATAGAAAACCATCTGATCAGGGCAGAACGAACCTACTGCGGCACCAGGGCCAGACGGGCTAAGGACTAGTAAGGGATGAGACCACTGCTCTGATCAGGACTGTGGTCAGGTGATTTGCTTCTTGCCTTGGCTCTCTCATTCACCAGCTGTTCAGTCACTTAGACATTTTGGGTCACTCCTCCCACTTAGAGCATGAGGAGGTTGGATTAGATCATTCATATTTCCATTTGAGCTCGAGTGCTAGCGGGTTTCTCTGGAGGAATCTTGTCTAGGGGAAAGGGTTGGTTGTCTGGGGAGGGAGCAGATGGTGGAGGCCCGATAAATGCCCCCCCCATCATTTATTATTTGACCCATGATCTGTTTTACAAATCGGATTTCCACTTCAAGTTTCACTCAACAAATATTTATTCATCGTGTATTACATAAGATTTAATGTGGGGGAGAAAACAGGCACTGCTGCCAAAAATAGTGTGAAGATAACTGGCCTGGATGGTTTCAGAAATCCTTTCCACCATTAACATTTTATGATCTTCATCTAGGAAATACAGATTCATTCACTTTTCACCATGGGAATCATAAGGTATGAGCAATTATCTTGAATAATTAAGGTAGGGAAATGTCATAGCCATTGTTCTTCTGTAAAGTATGCCACTTTTGTAAAACATAAAAAAAAAAAAAAAGCTTTTGCAAGCTGGTTTCTCCTTTCTAGTGTAAACTTCCCTGAAGTTTTTTTTTTTTTTTTTTTGGTCATCCAAAGGAGATTTGGCTGTATCAGAATCTTCACAGAGCATAGCAATGCTTTATTGATTTGATTTACAGATTACTAATCAGGAAGTAAAGAAAATGAATTTACTTTAACCTTATAAGATAACTAGAAGTCCTAAAAGGATCATGCATAATTTTGGAAATTTGATTCTCCTCCATCAGCAACAATAGGAAATAACAAAACCCATGTCTACATACACAAAAAAATACACATATCAGAACCAAGCTATGAAGTTTGGAGTATAACTCATTCATGAATTTCTTAGTTTAGATTCATTTTCTGAAAGAGTTAATTCAACAACTAAGTTGTTGAGAACTATCAGGTTCTTGAACATTGAGAAAATTTGGCTCAGTGTATATTAATGTAAATTGATTTGATTTTATAATTGTTTACTGATGACATATCATGCTTTCTTTATAGCTAGAAATCTCTTTTACATCCCTCTTGCCATACATGCATCATGCAGGTAAGGAGTGGAATCTCAACAGTAGAGGATTTAAGGTTACTTAAAGGACCGAAGGGAGGTAAACATAAAAGTGGGTCAAAGTGTGCCTCACATGTGCTCTGCCCACGCCCCAAGCACTGGCTAGAATCTAGCGAATTATGTAAGTAATTTGATTTGGCTCTGTTCAGTTAATTACACATTGATAGATGAATTATTAGTAGTACCTGCAAATAAGTCTTGAAAATGGAAGGTTGCTTTTCTTTTAGTATCAGACTTTTCGATCCACTGTCATAATGATAAAAGATAAAAGATAAGATAAGAAGGTAAAGAGCTCCAAATACTAATTCTTTCTGTATCTTTTTATTTGCTAGCAGGGAAATGATTTTTTGAGGATAGTCCTTCTGTTTTGAATTTGTAACTTCTGTCTGAAAAACCAGTAGTTTTCATTTTTATTTGAAAGGTTTTAGAGTATTGCTAACTAAACCATGGTTCAAACTACCAGAAAAGACTTTGTTATAATGTGGGAAGGGTTAAAAAGACCTTAATTTTAGGTGAGTGAAGGCTACAGGAGCAAGACTTGTGATAGGAGAGTCTTTATAAAAAATTAAACAATTAAAGGGAGATGATTTTATCAAGTAAGTTTTATATTGCTTATGTTTCTTAGCTCTCTTAAAGTCTTTTTGGCAGGCTTTAAATTGCTGAAGTTTTTTAATTTGTGTTTAAAAGAGGTTGGTTTCTCAGACTGAAGGCATTGCAAACAGTCCTAAGAATTGAATTCCAAGGAAGAACCTGCTATAGGAAAACTACGTTAGACAGAATATACTCGATAGCATACTCTGTAGGAAAAATTATGGGAATTTTACAGACATTAAAAGAAGTAAAATGATTAAAAAAACCCCACATTTCTTAAAGAATCCCTCCAAACCTCAGGTTAATATAGTTAAGTTAAAGCTTATCAGTCTTAAGTATTTAACGAGTCAAGTATTTCCTTTCACAGCTAATTTCTCAGACAGTCCATGTATTTTTTGGTGTAGCTTTAAAGTGTTCACAAAGAAATATCCATGACTAAAGTTAGCCCATAAATATTGTATCACTGAAGCCGCCCTGTAAACAGAGAAGCAAAAACTCAGCCTTTGCAGTTTACAAAATCAAGCCCACTGGTTTAATGCACGCACTTCCCAAGATGGCCAAACCCACAGGAGTGACTTACTAGGGTATCTGGCGTCGACAGCCTCGTGGTGTTCAGTCCTACCAAGGATGGGAGAGTTTGGGACATCCAGTTCGAGATCATTGCCATGGTACTAAGCACAGCGCCAAGCTTCAGCAGTGGAGGACTCATTGCTGTGGAGCTAATGAGTTTTCATAGTGACTGATTAAGATCCCGGTGCTGGGCTAGCAGCGGGAGGCGTGACTGCAGCACGCCTCATCCACAGCATGAAAAGAGATCAACTTGCCCAGCTCTAATCACTGGGGAAAGCTCACAGAACGTCTTTCCCCCCACCCTCATGGGAAGTGCCTTGCTCTTCCTTTCCCTTCCTTTCCTGACACTTAGCTGGTTCATTAAAGGAAATATTCTTGATAGGGCTTGGTTGGTAATTATATGAGAGCGAAGGTTGGAGGGAGAGGGAAAGTTGAGCTCTTCCTGCCCCACTGTAGTCAGTTACCATCAACAGAATCTATTTCCTCTGGGGTTTCTGTGAGTATAATCAGCTGCTCTTTATCGTTCATAAAAAATACACCTTTAGATGGAGGTCTGCCAAAGTGCACATTTCAAACATCAAACTTAATATCTACAGATTTCTCCAAGTGTAGACAGAGTACTTTAGGCAGAGCATGAAAACAAAGTCTGCAAAGAATTTCCAAGATGATCAGATATTGAGAGTAAGAGATTTTTTATTTTTTTAACAGTAACCTAAAATTAACATTGTTGTATCTAAAAAAAAAAAAAAGTCAAAGATTAATAGCTACTGCCTGTGGAGAACATTACCCTAGGCAACTTGTGAATAGAAAAGGCAGTCTTAGAGGAAAGTGTTTCCAGTTTTGCTTTTAAGAATGAATGCTTCTTCAAAAAAAAAGAATGAATGCTTCCTAGTTGGTCAGACAAAAGACAAACTCCCTTAACTGTATTTTTACCTTGTGAAGAATGACAGACCAATACCAGAAGTCTGTCATGAGAAAACATGTGACTTATTAAAAAAGAGCACAGAACTTGGCTTTAGGGAGCCTGAGGGTCCACTCCTATTCTCCTCTGGTTAGTTGAGTGACTGGCCAGTGACTTGACATAATTTGGCTTTCATTTTTCAGGTTTGGACTCCACGCTCTCCAAGGCCCCTTTCAGCTTTAAAATTCAGTGATCTGTTTATTAGAGTTCTGTTGGCAAATGTGTATTTTGAATTTGGGGCTTATGGATAGTATTCTTATATTCTTTTTACAAATACTATGAATTGCCCATATCCAAATCTCAGGTCCCGAATGGAATAAATCAGAGTACAATATATGTATTCTAAAATGAAAAAAAATATAGAGAAGAAGACATGAAGGGAAATATGGCTGAATGAAAGTTAAATGAAAAGGAACCTGTTATAAGAAGGAAACACACTATTTTGATTCCTTAGGAGAATTCTGGAATTGTTTGTGGCTTGAATTCTCAGCCAAAGATATATATATATTTCATAAACAGTTTTGGCAGGAGAAATAAAGGAAATGTCTTTAATAAAATTGAAGAAGATACATATTTATAGAGGTGTGTATGCCCTTTATTCTCAAAAAGAGGTTTAAGAGACTCCTCAGGTCTTTCTTGCTTCTGTTACCTAGGAATTTAGGCTTTTTTAATTTTTTTCCTCCAAATGATTTTAGTTGACTCTTATTTTTTTTTTTAACCACAGGCTTAGAAAACCAAATATTACTATTTGTGTCTTTCAGAAATCATATATAATATGAGAGATCAATAGGATAAAAGCACAATAGTTTATATATTAAAATTAGCCTTGAATAAGAGCATTCATAGAAAAGACTGTGAAATTTTGCATTAGTATTGCAATGTGGCAATAACAAAAAGCAAAGTGGATTTACAAATCTAATTATTTGAAAAGTACACCTGGAACTTTACCTAATTTAGGAGGGGGAAGTGTCTTTTCAAGAGCTTAAGTTCCAGAATTGAAAACTAATATACATGCAATTGCTAGATAATTTAAGATGCAACATGGCAGATGGTAATTATAGTTATTAATGAACTATCAGTCAACAAAATAATAGTATCTTTAGAAGAATACAGGACTGAATGTCAGGGGAACCAGTGCTATTATTTGCAAATTAAAAAAAAAGAAGACGGGCGCCTGGGTGGCTCAGTTGATTAGTGTCCAACTCTTGATTTTGAGTCAGGTCACGATCTCGGGGTTGTGAAATCGAGCTCCTCATTGGGCTCAGTGCTGGGCGCAGAGTCTGCTTGTCCCTCTCCCTCTGCTCCTCCTCTCTCGCTCTCTCTCTCTCTCTCAAATGAATAAATAAAAAAATCTTAAAAAAAAGAAAAATGCATACTTTAAAAAGTAAGAAAGAAAAGAAAACAACACAAATGGAATGCTTGTAATTTCTCAGATGCAAGTAACTAAAGAATGGAAAGAGAACAGCAGTGAAAGTTTATAATTCAGTGGTGTTTATCGAAAACATCAAATCTATAATGTGTTGTTTTTAGAATAGGTTTAAATGGCACACATTGAAATAAAAAAGCTTAAATTATAATGATTATTAGTTGTGGGAAATAAAAATAGCTACTATTTGTAAAGAGCTAAGTAGTTTGCTGTGCTCTCATAATCCAGTGAAGTGATTATCATTATAATTTCCACTTTAGAAGTTGAGTTCTAGTTTGCAGATGGGGGAGGTGATTATTCTATGTAGAAGTAACAACCTGTTTTCAGGGGCAAGAAACCCTGTGGTTACAGAAGTTCCATAAGAATAGTGTGAATGGTGGTGATGGAGTAAGTAGCAAGAGATGAAGTTGGAAATAGTAGCAGTGACCAGCTCCCAGACCTTCAGGGTCACCCAGAGATGTTTGGAGATTATCTTGTATGTAATTCAAGAATTTAGAGTAAAGCAGTGAAGTCATTAGTCATTGAGATTTATATCTCAAATTATTATTACTTTGGCGTTTTTGTGATAGAGGATAGACAGATGGGTATTGCAGGAACAGCAAAGCAAATCCGAGACAAAAAGGTCACTTAAGGGCATGTTCTCCTAGTTTAGGCAAAAAAGGATGAGGCCCGGGACTAAGAAACTTCGTGAACTTCAAAAGGATGGATTCCATGAAGATTTGAGGTAGAATTGATAGCACTTAGTGATTGAATAGATGTAAGAAGTGAGGGAGAGGAAGTTACCGCGGGTGGATTTCAGATTTGGGGTTTGGGTGGTGAGTATTCATCAGGATAAGAAATACAATTGTCACATACCAGGTAAGAGTCACCTATGGTAGAGGAAATCCCTGAATGGTAATGTACCATACATATGGAGTTCAGAAAAGAGTTAATTTCACTAGACTACAAGGGCCTAGTAAAAATAATGTGTCCTACATAAATGACAAAAATGGTTAATTTAGGTATACACCGTCTTATTAAACTACCAGTGATTTTATTTAAACTTTAAGATAATATCTAGATTTAATTACCTGTACATGATTACCTACACACTTTCCTTGAAAAATAATAAAAAAAGTTCTATCACCAGGAAATAGTGAAAAAATTACTGTATCTAGTAATCTAACAGAAAATGTGACCTGACTACGCCCTTACTATTTTTTTTAAATCTCAATTAGGTCAATAACTATAAAACCCACAACAGTGCAGTATTGCTCATGGACTGTTGAAAGATATTGATTAATGAATATATTCATTAGATTTTTTTTTATGGTAGCCTGTCTTTTATTACCTAGAAAATATTTCATGGTAAACCTATATGATAAATAATTAATAAGCAAATATTGACGAAGAAAAACTTACAGGTGATCTTATATAATACTGGCATATTCTGTCACTGGAATTTTTTCCCCTTGATTTAGGGCACAAATGTTTAACAGTGTTTTGAAGCTCAAAACACTTTCTAGTTTGGGGGCTATTTGTGTAGTAGGTATGTGTGGGTTTCTGGTGAACCCAGCTCAGACAGTAAATACATGAAAAGCCCTCATGGCCACATAAAATATGATAGAAAACCAAAAAATTTGACTTTAGGCAAAATGGGAGACTCATATTACTTGTTCAATAATAGAAAATTTAAGAAGGAATAGGCTACTCAAACTTTATTTTTGTAATTTAAAAAATTTAAACTTTGTGGATGGCTTGAGAAAGAGGAAAATGGCATATTAGATGTAGTTGTAAAGATACAACTGTAGGGAGTAAAGAAATGATTGATGAAGAAGGAGAAGGAGGAGGGGGAGGAAAGAAGGGGGGGGAAGGGAACCCGGGGAGGAGGAGAGAGTAGTAATTGGGTAGAATACTGAAAGATGAATTGTACTGATTGGCTAAAAGAACAGTTAAACTAAAGTAACCTCTGGAAAAAACAAAGTGGACTCCTGTTAGCAACTTAAGTAGGAAAAGGAGGAGGAGTGACATAAAATTGAGGAAAACAGAGTACTTGGGTTGAAATCACTTTGGTGATGCTATATTCCCTGGAGAGCATGGTATGTGAATGATTAAGTAAATAAACAGTTGCATTTATGAGTATCCCTTTTTCTCATCTGTAAAATAATGGATAAATGAATCAGTGTGGAAGGACTGAATGAGAGAATATATTTAAAAGTGCCTGTAGCATGGCAGATGCTCCATAAATGGTAGCCTTATTTTTTGGTAAGAAATGGCATGATTGAGGCAGGGCCAGAAAATGTAGATCAGTTTAAGGAACACTAGGCCCTGAAAAGGTGGGAAGTTTGTCTTTTAAAGGGGTAATTGAGTTGGGCTTGGAGTATATGAGGACATTAATACAACTCTGCTATGCAACACAATGTCACTCTGGGTTTCTGGAACTAATAGTCCAGCTCAAAGCAGAAAAAGGGACTAGTATTCGTGCTTCCTCCTTCATTAAGAAGTCAAAGTAATTACTAGAAAATTTTCCGTAAGGTCCCACTACCATATCTACTTACCCACCTCACCTAAGCCCACATACACCACCTTTTCTCCTGTTGTTACGGATGAATTGTCTGTGTTCCTAGGTAAGATTGATCCCTCCCCTTTGCACTAGGTCAATACCTTTCAGAGTATCATGCACAGGAATTACCTGAACAGTTTGTTAAGACCCACAACCTTAGATCCCACCCTTAGGTCTTATTTATTCGTTCTAACATCGGGTCAAATAATT